TAAAAGATGGTTTTCATACCAAATAACCAACATCCGCATAATATAACCCATGTGAACTTGTCACACAGTCTTTCATGTGGAGTGAATACTAATCGATTTGTCAAGAATACGAATTGGGGACCTAATTAATAGACCATCAGATAGTGATCAATTTAGGTTTACCATTTTCGCATACAAGCCTCGAAGAGGGTTTAAAAGTACAACTATGTTAAGTAGAATAAAAGAAAGTGGCTCTTGTGGATAATACATGGAAAATTCGATTTTCCTTAACAGAAAAATTTTCCGGCCCCAAAATGCACTTATTCATTCGAGTCATTCAAGCAAATATGTTTTTGGGACTAGTGACGATATATGTTTTCATACATTCGACGGGCTTTTGTGGAAAAATCGAATTTTCCTTACAAGTTTACGCCCTTATTTCAAACCTATTAAAGCCTTTGGTTTTTCGAAGCCTAGTTCTATTAGTTAATCATTTAGTGAACACGGCTTGCGTGAAAATATGGACAACGAAATACCATTAATTTTTGTTAAGGAAAATCGAATTTTCCATATGTTATTCCCAAGAGCAAAAATGGGACACCTAAACCTGTCGCTATCTGACCTATTAAAATTATGCGGGTGTTACCCCTAACACCTTGTATAATAAAAATAATTGAAAATTATGAATAAGAAATTTTATATTTTCAAAACTTATAAAAGATATTGAACCTTTAAAAAACTTACTGAATCTAATCCTAATGAAAGTATTGCTTGTAGGGTATCCAATACTTTTGTTGGAACTATCTCTGGATGATCAAAATTCATTGAATCATTAAGATATTTTAGATTTGAATCTTTTTGTAAACATACTCTACAGATAGAATCTATATCAGTCAAATCTATCACTTCTGTATTTATGGCTAAAACAAAAAAGTTATTTGCATACAAATAAAAAAGTCAAGATCTGTTTAATATTTACGAAACAAACCGTAAATAATAATCAATGTCATTTGGGACCAGATTTACTTGATCTTTTTGCAAAATACTTCCCAGTCAAGTATGTAGTTGAGAGCCCCAACTAGAAGCACAATAAACCGTTTTCATCAGCCTTACATGAGAACTAATACTGGCCTCAATTCATTCATGCCAAGAGTTTTTGAAGTGAAAACTTCTTTAGCGGCGTTGAGCACTTTTGTGGGATGGGATATTTTTTAAATTGAAATAAACTGGAATAAATTGGAATAAATTGGAATAAATTGGAATAAATTGGAATAAATTGGAATAAATTGGAATAAATTGGAATAAATTGGAATAAATTGGAATAAATTGGAATAAATTGGAATAAATTGGAATAAATTGGAATAAATTGGAATAAATTGGAATAAATTGGAATAAATTGGAATAAATTGGAATAAATTGGAATAAATTGGAATAAATTGGAATAAATTGGAATAAATTGGAATAAATTGGAATAAATTGGAATAAATTGGAATAAATTGGAATAAATTGGAATAAATTGGAATAAATTGGAATAAATTGGAATAAATTGGAATAAATTGGAATAAATTGGAATAAATTGGAATAAACTGGAATAAATTGGAATAAATTGAAAAAACTGGAATAAATTGGAATAAATTGGAATAAACTGGAATAAATTGGAATAAACTGGAATAAACTGGAATAAATTGGAATAAATTGGAATAAATTGGAATAAATTGGAATAAATTGGAATAAATTGGAATAAATTGGAATAAATTGGAATAAATTGGAATAAACTGGAATAAATTGGAATAAACTGGAATAAATTGGAATAAATTGGAATAAATTGGAATAAATTGAAATAAACTGGAATAAATTGGAATAAATTGGAATAAATTGGAATAAACTGGAATAAATTGGAATAAATTGGAATAAATTGAAATAAATTGGAATAAATTGGAATAAACTGGAATAAATTGGAATAAATTGGAATAAATTGGAATAAATTGGAATAAACTGGAATAAATTGGAATAAATTGGAATAAATTGGAATAAATTGGAATAAACTGGAATAAATTGGAATAAATTGGAATAAATTGGAATAAATTGGAATAAATTGAAATAAATTGGAATAAACTGGAATAAATTGGAATAAATTGGAATAAATTGAAATGAATTGAAATAAATTGAAATAAATTGAAATAAATTGAAATAAACTGGAATAAACTGGAATAAATTGGAATAAATTGGAATAAATTGGAATAAATTGGAATAAATTGGAATAAATTGGAATAAATTGGAATAAATTGGAATAAATTGGAATAAACTGGAATAAATTGGAATAAATTGGAATAAATTGAAATAAACTGGAATAAATTGGAATAAACTGGAATAAATTGGAATAAATTGGAATAAATTGCAATAAATTGCAATAAATTGCAATAAATTGCAATAAATTGCAATAAATTGGAATAAATTGGAATAAATTGGAATAAATTGAAATAAATTGGAATAATAATAGGCATTCGTTCAAAATTATTCCCTAACTATTCCAAAAAATCAAAAATGCACAACGTTAATATTCAAGTTTTCACTTCTGCCGGCACTCCCGGAGTGCAACCCGTGTTTTTTTTTCTAATTTTGTTGGGGTGTTAAAACTTACTGTGACTTCAATTCTCTAGTCTTGATATTAGTTGTTTCGATTTTTAACATGTTAATATATTTATGATTTTTGTTGTTAGTTTATTAGTTTATCATTATTATAACATATTATTTAGATTGACTCTATTTGAGGTTTTCTTTGTTTTTATTTGTAACTTTGTACTGAAAGTGGGCAAGGCCCGTAAATAAATAAATAAATAAATAATTTACAACTTCTGAGATAATACATTTTTTTATATTAAAATTAGGTATTTATACAATTGGATATTTGACTTTTTATTGACTTACCATTTTCGGAATACGAACTAGTCTTCTCTAATTGCTCTTTCAACAGTTTATTCTCCTTGGTCAATGCTTCAATGTTGATGGCAAAATCGAGTAACATTTTTTTTATATTATCTTTCTCCTTATATAGTTTATCGAAATTACGCATTAGTGAATGATGGTGTAAAACTAATTTATTTTCTTCATAATTTTCGGTTTCATCAGAATTTTCTTTTAATAAATTAACTTTAACTAATTGATCTTTAGTGCATTCAAGTTCATTTTCTTCAATATCAATTGCTTCTTCCTTTACATAATCTTTTTCCAGTTCTAATTCTGGTAACTCGTCTTTAACATTTCTTTTTTTTTGTTTCCTTCTTGATATATTAGGACCTACTTGAAGATAAAAATATAGTAATATATGTTTTACAAATGGTCAGTATTTTAAATATTATTTTCAAATTATTGTTGTTGGTGCAAAACAGAGTACTGATCTGATCTACTTTTCTTACACATTAAATTTGGTCTAATTCACTTTGTTTTTGATTTAAATAATACTAATCTTAATTAGTCTTAACTTTAACCCAGCTGTGCGCAATTACGGAAAAACCATATAAAAAAAAACAATATTGTTGAAGAATATAGGGCAATTCCCACAAACACATTTGAACGAGTACGTAAAGAGTATACTGAATATTTTTTTTACTGGTTCTTGAATTTTTTTTAATTAAATGCAAAACTATCTCAAGTTTAAGTCCATCAAAATTGCACAAAATTCAAACAAAATAATAAAATATTCTTTATTTGAGGAACAATCATATAGATATACTGTCTATAGTAAAATAAATCTTAAGAACGCCACAACACTTCCGGTTTTTGATTCAATGATTTAAATGTGAATTTTAGTTAATCCTTTCCTACGTAGATGTAGCTACACTCTTTAACCTCCATATTTTGTCCATTATATCGCAAAAATCGGCCAGCTAAATAATATACGCAACATACTCCTATTTTATGTTTTCAAATAAGTTGGTCTGGTGAAAAAGATTTGTCAACACCGCATATTTATTGAAATATATTATTAGGCAGTCTACCAATTCTTTAGCGAGGTTTTTCTAGTTTACGGTGAATTAAATATTTAGCTGTCTAATTAGGGTAGCAGCAGGTACTTGGGATAATCCGATTAAATAATAATCAAGAATTTGTTAGTAGCACTGACCTTCCCTAATCTATTATAAATAGGTAGGTATATTTACCCCTATTTCCAAATAATGATTGAAATAAATAAGTATACATATGGGCTATTTGTTTTATTTATTTTAGTTATGTGTATTTTTGATTTGTGTTCGTAAGTTTAATTTGAGTGTTTATTATATTTCCAGTATATTTTTATTATTTTTCGTTAATTTTGAAAGAAAAAAAATATGTGCGTGTAGGTAAAGGATAAATCTATGCTCCTCTGGAGACACTTTTTTAAAATTTGAAACTGTTTTTTCTAAAAAAAAATACAAAGCTCGACTATATTTACTCATTTTCTCAATTTTTTTTAGAAAAAACTAAATTGAATTTTGAAAAAGTGGTTCCAGAGGAGCATAGATCTAACCTTTACCTACACGTACATATTTTTTTCTTTTAAAAATAGTCAAAAATAAACTTTAAAAGTGGGGTACTACGAAACCCTTACATTGCAAGATTTTTCGTCTGGAAAGTGGCGCCTCTGTTAGATTTTCAAGAAATTAATATTTGTGAATGAAAACAATTTATAATATATTTTACTGATATTTTACGAGGGATGAATAAATTTTACATATTTTACACCTTATTTTTTACGTAATTTATTTCTGTAATACTAAGATTGGTATATATATTATATGCAAGGGTTTCATAGTAGACCAATTTTACGGATTATTTTTTAATTTTACTAAAAGAAATTTTATGTAAGTAAAGGTAAAGGCTTAACCCATACCTCTCTGGAGTCACTTTAAAAATATGAATCAGTCTCTTTTGAAAAAAATCTAAGAAAAGAAACGAAAAGAAATAGAAATGTCAAAAAATGCTAGAAGAGAACCATATATTTAATTTTTGCCTACAGGAGCATTTATTTTTATAACAATAAAAATAGAAATACGTTAAAAGCTTTTTCGTCTAGAGCGTGACACCAACAAAATATATATATTTTTTTCTACTATTTAGTGATAAACAGTACATAAGTGATTTGAATTCATGTTATTTTTTACATAAAGTAATTTCGCTCAATTACATTAAATTAATTTTATCATTTGTATATTAAAAAATATATATCCGAAATTGGAAGATATACACTGAGATATGAATTATAAATATGTTTTTGTTTAATGAATACCTCTTCAAGTCAACAATAATTATTAATTCCAGCGTGTTAATATCTCTTCAATTCGTTAAAGTAATGTAAATATTTTTTCTTGCTTTCGCGCATGGCTTTGATCTGTCGCACCCTTTGAGGCGTGCTGCAAGAGAAAATTTTCTAAAGAGTTAACCAATGTCTATAAATGAGAAAAAAATGATTGTGACGAGTCACTGCTTTAAAATTTAGAGAAATTTGTAAAAAATCTCCTTAAATCTTTTATTTATTTCTAAAGCCACCCGATATGACATGGACCATAAATTCAGAGCAAAATAAGATTTGGAAATTTATTAGCAAGTAAAAGTTTTTAAATGTGGACATTTTATTGAATTCGAATTTGATTAAAAAAAAAAAAACAAAACACTATGAAAAGAGTTAAAATGACCATATGGAGCTGAAGTGCTGACTGTAGAAGAAGAAATACGGAGTAGAGAAATAACTTTTTGCAAAAAGGACAATACCATTAAGGAGAACCACTATTGGTATTTTCAAATTCAGGGCTAGCTGCACATAACACAAATGGATTTTTGCATTTTGTGCTCTATAGTGCTTTTGGACTTCTGTAGGAATAAAAATGGAGAAAATATCTCATAATGACAGCTTTTAGGAAGAAAAGATACAAAATAAAATAAAATTTTTTTATATGCAATATGCCTTGTAAGAACTTGTTGACAGCGAAGCTAGTAGAGACATGGAAGTACAGGACAGAATACTAAATAATTCGTGAGAAAATTTGTTTAATGTTGAATATTTTTATTGCTTTAAGAATTACATTTTATTTATTTCTGAAACATGGTAGTAGGCGATCTATTTAAGATATGATTAATGTCTTATTATTATAATACACTATTTTAAATTTAGGATTTTACCAGTGGAAGTGGTAATTGATGATATATAATTATTATTATAACAAATGTTTTAAAAGGCTACACCAATTAGTGGACCACTCTTTTAGGTCCCATATAATAATTTCAAGATTTTGATTCGGATATTTTTATTTCACAAAAATAATAAGTCAGTTTTTGTTTTTTATGTAAATCATATCATTTTCAAGACAATAAAACAGAAGAAAAGTCACCGAATACCGATTTCAAAAAGGTCTATTAGTTTTTATAGGAAATGGAAAGAGAAAGAACGCTTTTTAATCAAGTTAAAATTCTTTACTAATTTCACTCTTTCTCTTCGACGATGTCCGGTCTCCTTCTTGTTTAAAATCGATAACTATAAACGGATTAAGGTATTTTGTACCGTTTTAAAAAATTTAAGAAAAGTTTTGAAGAATATTTGTTTTTTTTTAAATTAGTAAACTTTGACAAACATGTACAATATTCTAAAAGATAAATCACATTACGTGTAGGTATAGGTTAAATCTATGCTCCTCTGGAACCACTTTTTCAAAATTCAATTTGGTTTTTTCTAAAAAAAATTGAGAAAATGGGTAAAAATAGTCGAGCTTTGTATTTTTTTTAGAAAAAACAATTTCAAATTTTAAAAAAGTGTCTCCAGAGGAGCATAGATTTATTCTTTACCTACACGCACATATTTTTTTCTTTCAGAATGAGTCAAAAATAAACTTTAAAAGTGGGGTACTACGAAACCCTTGCATGCTCCGCTTTACAGTCAAGTACAGTCAATACTCCTCTTAAGAAACAAAAATTTTATTTATTTTTCTAAAATAATATGGATTTTTCTCTAAAATATATATATAGTGGCTCACAAAAAGTTTGCTTTTTATATGTTACTTTTTTCAGAAAATGTTATTCCTGATAAAACTTGGTGTTTAATTAAACCTAAAACTTTATTTATTCAAAAAATTCTGTATCATAAATATAAATTTGGCTGCACAGTACTTTTCTAGGAACCCAACCCATATTTTTACATATAGGATTAATTTAACAAGATATATATATATATATATATATATATATATATATATATATATATATATATATAACTCTACATAGTAGTTTTTTAGTTAATATAATTAATATAGATTATTATATCCTTTTTCTTAATTTGTCTGTATATATTTTTTTTATGTATGTTCAGCGATAATTCTTTAACACAATGTCCGATTTAAATATTTCTTTTTTGCTGAAAAGGAGGTACTTCCGGGATGGTTCCATATAAATTTGGTCAAAATCTAATAATTGGATCTATGAGAAAATCCTCAAACTTTTCATTTTTTATGTATTTTTAGCGATAATTCTTTACCACCTTGTCCGATTTCTATAATTCTTTTCGTTAGTAAGGGGGTACCTCAGGGGTGATCCCATATAAATTTGGTTAAGATGTGGTGATGGCATCTGCGCGATTTTAAAGTCGGTTTTTTAAAATTACTTTTAATACATGTTACGTAAATTAAAAGTTTAATAATTTGGTGTTTTCTTGATACTTCGTTTTATGATTTTACTTTGTATATATGTTTAAGTACAGATAATTATTATTACTGACAATTTATTTTAAATCATTAAAATATTTTGTTGATCCAAAAAAGGCAAACAAAAAAGCCACATTCAGTGTAATAATAATAATTAGATATATAAATATAGTATATTATGTACCAACAGACTAAACTTTCACTTTCAATCCCGCCTTTTTGTCGTAAAAGACTTCTAAATTTTTACTAGTGACGTCCGTACCGGGTTTGAACTAAATATTTTTGAACAAAAATATGGTACGCCACTGCTTTTTCTAAAAACCAAAATTATCTTTAAAATCCTTATTTATTTTGGAACAAATTTGGTTTATAGACGTACTTTCGTACGACGCACCCTTTTCGCGTAAGAAAATAAAAACCAGTTTATTGAAACTGCTTTTGATATTTTGTTGAAATTTGGTAGAAACCCACCATGAGTGGAAACACTTTTTTTTGGGGCAAAATTTTATAAAAATATCTAGAGTGATAAGAAACTTATGATAAAATAGTTATTTTTTTCTTAAAAATTTAACACCCAAGGATTCACACCCTTAAGTATCGGCACTCAATTAATAAATTCCCTGTATTAATTAATATTACCTTATTCGAACCAATCGTCTATTTTTTCGTTATTTGTATTTATATTTCACAACTCTTTACTCCTAAATGTAATTTAATCTAACTAAACCTATTCACTAAATTAAAATATAAAAATAATGTAAAACCCTCTAAAAAATCGAACTGCGTTATAACAATATCTCGCAATGCACCAAGAAAAACAAATACGATTCTGGTTCCCCTAATTTAGGTAACTCTGACTCACTCAAGGATTTTTCGGTTCCTTTGTCTCAACTACACGCGTTAGAATTTGGAATACGTATCCCTCGTATCTACATGCAATTGTTAAAATTATGAATGAATGCGGATTTTGTTTAGTCTTTTAAGTAATTTTGTAGTATTTAGGCTCCACCCTTAAGTTGTAATTTTTATACCTACTAAACTACCGTTGCCCCGCAGGTCTTTCAGTTTGTAATGTAAATTTTCCTCTTAACTGTGTAGTTTTTTTGGTGGTAAGTACCTATTACTATTATTAAACTATAATTTAAATTCATTATTTAAAAAAATGGTTTGTGGATTGAAGTCTCCAAAAAAATCTATCGAAATCAGGTGTTAGGTCATTTTAACTTTATACCGAGTTCACCTGAAAATTTTGGATGGCTTTATTTTTGGTAAAATTTAAATTGGAATCTTGAATTTTTGGGGACGAGGCAGTGCATCGAGGCAAGAAATTTCACATTCTTTTCATACATAGCTCCCTTGATTTTTACTAGCAAATAAAATATTTTGCCAAAATTTTAAATTAAAATATTCTAAAAAGTATTCTTTGTATTTTTTTAATATGGATAATACTTTACAATAAATGCAGGGTACCATTGAAAATTTTGAGATAAGGGTAGGTTGATGCAAAGGGTGATAAAAGAATATGTGGAAGTACGATCCCTATGCACTGCTTCATATCTTAATAATTTAAAATTTAAGTTTAAACAAAAATAAACTAAACCGAAGGGCGGTAGGGGTAAATATTTTTGTTGAATAAACACATGTCCGAAATACAGGGAATTTTAACCAAAAGTTATAGCGTCTATTATATATTTACAATGTTGATACTTGTTTTGAATAAAGCAACTAAAAATACTACTTTATTGTCTCTTTATATTTTTGCGAATTTCTTTTCGCTTTCTGATAAACAAATAATATCTAAACTTTTGCATGCACGTCTCTGAAGCAACTAAAAATACATCTCAAAACGAAAGGCGCTATAGAACAAAAAAAAAATAAAAGACAAAGAGTTGTATTTTATAACGTTTTATCAAAACCATTTTAAAAATATACATGGTGATATTCTTTTTCAGCAGAAATCTAATAAAATTATATAATAACGCTGGATACACGCTAAAAGGTCCAAAAGATAATTTATTAAAATAGGTAACAACAAACTTTAAAAATTTCATTGAAATTAATTAAAATGTTTATTATTTATTATTTATAGCACTGATTTTACTATCGTGGAGTTTTTAAATGTACGCAAGTAAAAAGAATGATAGAAAGAAAAGTTACAGGTGCAAAAAAGGATTTTAAAAATCTAAAAAAGAAAAATATGAAATTTTAATTTTTATTGTATGATTTTGAACTTACGCTTTTTTTAACAAAATTAACCTCATTTAACTTTTTTTTTTTAGAAAAAAAAGATCGGTAATATCGGGGAGAGATAATGAAAAAATTTTTTCAATTCAAGAGTAAAATGTCTTATATGAAATTCTGATATTTATTGAGTGTAAAATATTTTTTTTTGTTCTTAGTTTAACATGATTTTTAAAAATATGTAAAATTAGAAAAATCCTTTTTTGCACCTGTAACTTTTCTTTCTATCATTCTTTTTACTTGCGTACATTTAAAAACTCCACGATAGTAAAATCAGTGCTATAAATAATTTTTTATTCAACAATTACATTTCAATATTTAGTTAAAAAATCATACAATAAAAATTAAATTTTTTTTTTTTTTAGATTTTAATACATTAAACTGTTTATACCTTTTGGACTACGCACCTCAGAAAATCCATACAGGGGTATTTTTGTAGAAAATTTAATTTCCTACAAATTGTTTTATGACAATTTTTTTATAACTTCAACTATTTTGTTGATAAGAACGAAAATATAACAATTTTTGAGAAAATTGAGCTTTCGAGGCCAGCACCGATGAAACGGGTTCAAGTACAAAAAAATGTTTGTGGGCACTTTCAAAGAGTCACTAATATACTACAAATTCTGACTAATCGCAATGGAATACCTTGAAATCAAAGGGAGCTATATTAATTTAAATTAAAAAAATCATGTTTTACATGTTATTCAAATGGGAAATATAAATCAATCGAAAGTAAGAACTTAAAATTAAAATTAAAGGCTCAAATTTTCAGGAAGTTTTTTTTTTCGATAAAAGACAAAATTTTAATGTGTCAGCAAAAAAAGATATTAATATGTTACAGTCTAGAAATTTTAGCTAGAAAGCAGTCATATTTTTTGAGTAAAAATTGTGAACAAAACATCACACAAAATTATACCTTATCATTCTAATAAGTTCGAGCTAAAACGGTTTAAAATTACTTTTTAAACACTAATTAATTTTCTTAGATTCTTTCTAAGATTAAATCTAACCCAGAAAGGATCTTTTGAGACTAGAGCTTACATAGCAGCACTCAGATACAATTTGGGAATCATAACTACTATTACCAAGTGAGAATTTGAAATCATTTGCCTGAATATTTTTTCATCTTTCAATATTTTTATATTTGCACGAAAATAAAATTATTTAAATGTGTTTTTAGTGTTAAATAAAAATAATAGTAGCATTTTTTTTTTCAATTTATATATTTTTTTTTTTTTTAGATTCAAGGACAGCTCAATATTTTGTAGAAAAGATATGTGTTTTCTTATAGTTTACATAAACGACGAACAACCCCTACATATAGAAGTCATTCTAAGAGACCAACATTTTTGGCAGAATAATGTTTTACCCAAATTACTAAATTTTTATAATCAGTGTGTTATGCCAGAGATTGTGTACAGGAATATTCCAAAACGACTGAAAGCCAGAGAGGCCATTTGAAAAGAATATTTTGTTATTTATTTACATACCTATTTATTGAATTAAATAAAGCTTTTACTGGATACTTAGAAATTTTTCATTTTATCCTTCCTAATAAAAACATTTTTGAAGAGTAAATGAAAGAGTCATGAGTGTTATTTTAACTGATTTTTTTTTGAAACCATGAACTGGAGCAAAAAGATATCGGTGTCACTAATAGCCTAATAAATATATTATTACATTACTGGTCTTCAAAGTAGCATCACTTTATTGCATTGATGAATATTTCTCTCATGATAGTTAACATATTGAATAACCAACTCATGCCCATTTTGCCGAATTCACACTTTATTTACAAAAAAAACTCAGCATACATTAAAAAAATTACATCTTTAATACAAACTTTTGTTTTTCCTCGTATAAAGACATTTATTTTAAATATTGGTTAATTTAGATTTTAATTTTAGACAAAGCATCAAATTTTATTAAAAATTCGTCTTAATAAGAAAACGTTAAAAAATGAGTCTCCCTGTATATATAATTTATATTTGTGTAAATTGTAAATAACCATAATAATATAGTTTTGTCTAAATTCAAGACAATTTTAAAATATAGCAACACGGCGCCGAAGCTTTCGCTACTTTCGCTATAATTTAGGTCCTGAACTAAAAAACAACATGGACGTAGTGAAATTATCAATTTTAGATGAAATCGTATTTTGTACAGAACTTAAAAAGTACGCAACATTGATTATTAAAATTTGGCAAGAATATTCAGAAAAATATGTAGAATGCTATAAAGTTTTTTGAAATACATCTGTGACTATCACTTTTTTATATTTTTTAATAGTATTTAATAAATAGCAGGACAAATGAAAATGTCTCATTTCAATCATTAAACATTTTTCTATAATCTGCCAAAGTTTCATTAAAATCCATCCAGTGAAAAATAAGTTCTGTAAAAAATTGTAAACCTATGTTTTGACCACGTAAAATACACTGAAATGGCGCCCTTAAACAACAAAAAGTTATAGAAAATAGTGAATACATTGAATAATATTCCTTTATCGCCCGTATACGGTTCTAAATTAATTAGCAAGTAAATAACTTAATATTTGATGATTACAACATAAATAAATGAATGTATTCATTACTTTTGCCATTCACTGTAAAATACTGTAAAGTTTAGTAAAAAATCACTAACCTGTGGGATTGAAGATTGTTGGGACAGCATTGAATAACAGACGCCCATATTTTTTACCAAGAACACTTCTATAACAAGCTGCCTCAAAATGTTTAGAGCAAATGAAACTCCTAACCGTGGGTTCAAAATTGTATATTCTTAGTTTTCTCAACCACATATCCAATAGTTTTTTATTGTGAAGAGGAAATCTATATTTGACAAAATTAAAAACACAATCACATTTGTTTATTTTACGAAAAATATGTAAAATTTTAAAAAGAAATTGTACGTTTTAAAGTTTTATTTAGCAGTATTAAAAAGAACATAATATGAAATACTTATAAAAAATATAAACAGTTCCCTTGAACTAAAACATATTACATATATTTATACCCTAAGTAAAATCTTATTTCTCTCCTCATAAAAGTTGTCGTAAATTATGGTTACCTGTGATACAAACGATTATCTGTTCCTTTTTTACTCTTACAATAAGCACATACTGTTTTATATGCTTTAAATAAAGTCGGAACACTTCCAGGTGCCAACACTGTCTTTTTACCCCTTTTCTGCAAGCAGGATGTTTCAAAATGTTCTGAGCATAATCTCATTCCTTCATTTACTTTATTTATATATTCCATATTCATATTCTTCAACCATTTCCCCAATAATTCCAATTGTGTAGGAAACCTTAAATAACAAGTACACTATTTAATATCGTAATAATCTTTATATAATGATGTAAATTCACTCTAATTTTGTCCTTTAATCGAACATTTTTATTCGTTTTCTTGTATGCTATATAATAATGTAACATGTAGTAATATTCTCATTTTGTTTTGATAAAATGGACAATTTTTACTTACTTATAAAGAGTACGGATATTTATTTCACCTTGTTTCCCACAAAAAACGCACTTCATCATTATTTTTTTTTATGTAATATCCAGAAATTACACGTGAAAATGAGGATATTTAATAACTATATTTATTATTTATTTATCTATGGTTATGTTCATGTTATGTTTATCTTCCCATCCACAGAACACTTCCCATCCCAGCGAGCTGACAGGTGACATGAGACATAAGACACAGACATGAGGTTCTTGCGTTCGCTGTTGGTGCAGTGTCCACCAGTGTAAATTACACCAGTTACACCACCTTTATTTACCTAGTTTAATTCCTCCTTATTCCTTATTCACTTGTCGAGTGTAATTTACTCCTGCTAAATAGTTGGTGGAGAAAATATCCACCAGTGGACACCACATCGCCGACAGGAAGGGCCAAACGAAAGGTATGGTCTGCGTAGGTACTATGGAGGGTAGAGGAAAGGAGAACAATCTCTGTATACAAAAAGTGTCCCTCAAAATGTATACAATTAAGATGGCGCTTCTGTGCCCAGGGGACGTCGACAGTCGATAATTCACATCACACAATGACACCAATGATGTATATAGTAATAAATATTGCTCAACCATAAAAAACTAAAAACTACACCGTGAAAAGTGACTGATCGTAGAAGAGTAAGTGTTCTGTGATCTTAGATAAATTTTGACAATACACGACAATAGTCAAATTTTATTGAAAAATAATAATATAAACAATAAATAATTCTTATGAATGAGCAATATATATGACTATATAGCATTGGATTTTGTCCCCTGGCTACACGAGCGCCATCTTAATTGCATACATTTTGGTGGCCACTTTTTAATATAAAGATCCATATAAGATTGTCCTCCTTTTTTCTACCCTCCATAGTAGGTACAAACATCTAAGGTACAAACCTTTATGACACACAAAAATAATATGAAACAGCATTTATGCAGAAGAACTCTACGTTCTGTCAAATTTACTCAAATGAACCCAGTCTAAACTGGGTAAAAAAGAGTGCACTCCAGACACATACTTTGATTACTATACGGGACAAGAGAGAGGTCCGACACGCCCAACATAGGGCGCGGCCACTGATCTGTATTATTTTACTGGATATGATATAGCCCCCTAAAAAACGTTCCGAAAAATTGGCCGATTTGGGCAAATAATATGGCGGACCGGATGTTATTTAACGTACCTAACCTCTATTTCCATTTGTCATCACATTTGTCATTTAATTGTGTCAACAAGCTACAATGAGATATTTTAATTTTGGAAAACAAAGTAAAAAGAGTATGAATTAAACAGTAAAAGTTCATTCCTGAAGACACAATATGCTTCACGTTTCCATTTTTATATTTTCTTTCATAAAAATCAAATTATGGGTGAATTTTCCCGAAGGATATCGCCCGCAAAACGAATAGAAGAAGAATAAGAAGAAAAACTAATCAAATTATAGGTTAGGTATGTCAAATTATCCCAAATTTCAGTTCTGTGAACCCACCATAATTTGCCCAAATCGGCCAGCATTGTTGCACTTCCGGTCTCCTTGGGGGAACGGTTTTTTAGTATGTTAAATATAGCCTATATCCTATCCAGTAAAATAATACAGATCAGTGGGCGCGGCCCACATACTTTGATTTTCTTTTACTATACGGAGAATGGTCGCACTGCGCAGCTTTCGGAGTGCCTTTTAAAAGGAGATAGAAAACTCCGCCATTTTGAACCCTTATTACGTGTTGCCTACATCTTGGCGCAATATTTTTAATAGGTGCGTTTTAATCATCCGCTTCTGCTTCGGAATTGTCGGTTTTTTTGTTTTAATCTGACAGGTTAGAACGACTGAACCGACAATTCCGGAAGCAGAAGCGGATGATTAAAACGCACCTGATATTTTGCTTGATGCTGTCAGTCTCAGTCACATACTTTGATTACTATACGAGGCAAGAGAGAAGTCCGACACGCCCAACATAGGGCGCGGCCATTTTGAACCCTCTGACACAGTTTACAGCTAAAGAATCAGGTCGCTCACTCTGCGTCGGCACTTTTGATTTTAATGTTTTAGTTTATACACTGTGCAACTTGGATAATACAATATATGACAACCGCCTATAATAAAACAGCAGTCTTCTGCGTATCCTGAATTTGAATCCCTGGAGTGGATGTTATTTTGGAACTTTCAAGTGGTCCCAGTGAGCTAACTGATTCTTTAGTAATAAACTGTGACTTCAAAAATAATATTTACTGACACTGACAGCAGCAAGCAAAATATCAGGTGCGTTTTAATCATCCGCTTCTGCTTCTGGAATTGTCGGTTTAGTCGTTTTAACCTATCAGATTAAAACAAGAAAACCGACAATTCCGAAGCAGAAGCGGATGATTAAAACGCACCTATTAAAAATATTGCGCCAAGATGTAAGCAACACGTAATAAGGGTTCAAAATGGCGGAGTTTTATATCTCCTTTTAAAAGGCACTCAGAAAGCTGCACAGTGCGACCATTCTCCATATAGTAAAAGAAAATCAAAGTATGTGGGGACTAACGGAAGAATCTATAGATTCTTTCGTTCGTCCCACTGGTGTAAGATTGAACTACACCAACCCACACCATACTTTTCGTTTGGCCCGGTGTAAAATCCACTACACCTTCCTGTCGGCGATGTGGTGTACACTGGTGGATATTTTCTCCACCAGCTATTAAGCAGGAGTGAATTACACTCGATATGTGTATAAGGAATAAGGAGGAAGTAAATTAGGGTAAATAAGGTGGTGTAACTGGTGTAATTTACACTGGTGGACACTACACCAATAGCGAACGAAAGAACCTTATGCCGCGTTTGAAAATCCCTTAAAATATATATAGTCAGGAAGGAGTAATCCTAAACGACCTTGGAATCGCGATGGTATTTAATTTTGACAGTGAATTAGACGCGTATGGCGACAAGTGTTTCCGGTCTACCAGTGACGTACTGTCATAAAGGAGCGTAGAAAAGAAAATAATAGATTCTCATTTGCATATTATCTAAATTTACCGATTTCTCTCATTTTAACGAATTGCTATTTCCTTGCGAGAAATTCTCATTTTTTTATTAACCTTCATTATGTGAATAAATTTTACTTTAAAATTGCATTCAAACAAACAAACAAACAAGCAAACAAAAATTAGTGTTGTCCCCGATACGCGACTGTATTAAACTGCTGCCTTGTCATGTCGTTGCGGACTAAGTATATTTAATTTTAATAGCCGTAACCCGGGGGCTATTGGGGTAATTTTAAGTAAAGGAGTCTCGGACAATTAATTTGTCCTCGAATTCCACGGATTTCAATTTCTTCGTTTATTCTATTTCTACCTTCAATTTGTTCGACTTTTACAAATTATACTCTATAATGAGACATTATATATAGGGTGTTCCTAGAATAGGATACTCTTGAGTTACTAATCACACTTTACAAAGTTTTCATATTTTATATAGTAAGACCTCTTTCTAGTGCCCATATTACTATTTTTTTATATTTTATGCAGGATGATCACATAGAACACTCTTGGATCAATATACCGATATTACTAATTTTCATATCGTACACAGGGTGATGCAATAAACCCTTAATAATTCTTAATATCTAAGAAACGCTATTTTTAAGTTTTTGTAACGTTGAAATCCATATAAAAACGTTTAACAGACGTACTTTTGCCACCTGAGTAGTTAGGATTACCTTTCAGTAGTAGCGCAAACTTATACAGGAATTTCATTTCAAAACTAGCCACCCAAAATAACTTTTAAAATATCTTTAAAACAAAAAAGCCAAAAACACGTTTATTTATATTTACGGGGGGACACATTTTACAAGCATCTGTAATCGTGCAGTTTCATCCCCTAAGCGGTAGTGAATATCACTTCTAAAATTTTAAATAGAAAGGGGTATCATGTGATAGCTCTTCTTAAAGGTCTCTTTTTTTCCAATCTTTTGACACATTATTTTTTTAAATCGGATTAATTTTTCACCAAGTTATGCCATTTTAACCTTTTAAATTAAAATAATTATTATTTACATTGTATTTACATTATTAATATTTTATTTGCGTAAGAATTACATTGTACTTGAATAAGATGTTCAAAATGTCCGCCATTGTTGGCAATGCAATGGTAAAGTCGCAGCTCGAATTCATCCCGCACTTTTTGAAGCGTCTCTGGTGTAATCCGCTCACACTCCTCCACTATTCTACGTTTAAGTTCAGGAATATCGCGAGGTTGAGTTTTATACACCACAGTTTTTAGATGTCCCCATAAAAAAAAGTCAAGGGGCGTTAGGTCGGGTGATCTCGCTGGCCATTCTATAGCGCCCCTTCTTCCGATCCGTTTATCTGGAAATGTCTCAATAAGCCAATTTCTTACAGGCAAGGCATAATGTGATGGTGCTCCGTCCTGTTGAAAAAATAGGTTTTCTTCGTCTAGTAACAAATTTCTATCTTGATTTATTTGGTTTTCTAAGGATTCGGTTATAAGAGGATTTATCAGATTTTCTAATAAGTTCAAATACAATTCCCCAGTTAAATTTTCCTCCATGAAAATAGGACCAATAATTTTCTTACCAAGAATTCCGGCCCATACGTTGATTTTCTGAGGATATTGGCTGTGCTCTTCCCGAAAAACATGTGGATTTGTATTGTCCCAGTACCTACAATTACGTTTATTGACAAATCCATTTAAAAAGAAACCTGCCTCGTCAGTAAAACAAATATTTTTAATAAAATTATGGTCTTCATTTGCCCTTTGAGTCATTAATTCGCAAAATTCTAATCTTCTGTCATAATCATCCTCAGCAAGCTGTTGTAAAAGCTGTATTTTGTAAGGAAAGAATTTATTTAGCCGTAACGTTTTATGCACAAAGCCAACAGAAATATTTGTTAATCTGGAGACTTTTGGTATTGATGTTTGAGGTTCCATGGCAAAATGACCTAAAATCTCAACTTGTGCAGCTTCAGTTAAAACTCTACGATTCCTTACAGTTTTATTGCACACACTCCCATGTTATAGTCCTTGATGTTCTGATTAAAAGTCTCCATGGACCCAATCCTATTCTATGGCTAGATTTTGACATTGAAGTTGAAAAACCCGACTTCTTTAAAATGGACACCAAAAACCCCCTTTTAAATATTTT